TTGGTACAGTCGATCCATAATGAATGATAATATGATTAGAAATTTTTTTAAAACTTTTTATCTATTTGCGGTTTATTTCTATGCTTAACATCACATATTTTGTTGGTGTAGATATATGCCACACTTAGAAGGACTTGGGTTAGACCTGTCTTTTATTAAATCAATCGATTCAGAATAATTTTTTTCTTCTCAGTTAAGTGAAACTATCCGACTGTTTGTTTTCTATCCCATATTCAAAATACAGCCATTTCTACAACTACATCCTACGTAAGTAAAGAGTCCTTTCATGAAACAAATTTCTGATATTTGATGTAATTTGTCTAAACTTTCCCTTGCATAGATGCTCATTAAAAATGATCCTATGACTAAAACTTGTGGTGAATTGTGTTAGGTGATGTTTTCTTGTTCTTCTTGAATATTCAGCGTCGTACTGTAAAAAACAAGCTCAGTCTGAGGACAAAGTTCTCTGCCTGGGTCCTAAAAAAGTTGATTACTTTAGATAGTCCATGTTTAATAGCCAACCCCATCTGACCATAAACTTTCAAGTTTCCGTTATTTGCCAAGAGGCAGATTTTGTATGTAAATGATATGAAGCCTTTAAGGAATGCACAGGGGACTTGTTTAGTTTTCACCATTTTTCTACTTTTAGCGGAAAACTCTCCAAAGTATTCAAAGGCGAACCCCACATATACAGAACTCACGTTCCCAAATCAGTGTCGATTACTTCACTGCTTTCTTAGGGCAAAAGGATACCTGGTGCATTTAGTTTGTAGATCAAGCATTATATAAATCACCCAAAGGAAAAGTGAAGTAAATAATTGGCATAAATGTCGAAAGCTTCATTTCTTTTTAGGCAAAACGCATAGCGGATAATATTATTTAGGATCGCATGCACATATAACTTGCATCTCTAAATAAGCATTGGGTTTGAACAGGTTTCAATTAGCAAACTGTATATCACGAATGTATAATGACATATATCGTTAGCCGGGAGATAAAGAGGGGGCATCTAAGCATTTCATAAACCTTTCGTAGTCTGCCACTAATACGATTGATCCAAGCTAGAGATCTGTTCGAAGCCATATCTAGGCTTTTTTAACCTTCTCTACTATTTCGACATCAGAGCTCATTAACTTGTCGCTGATGTTTGTTAAATGTGTTTGCTTACAGACTCGGGATTTGTTTTATGTGGATTTAATAGCAAATTTTTCAGTCAATGACGCTTTCATTATTATTTAGTTTCATAGCGCAAGTATGACATTCGTACAATGAATAGCCGATGTACATCATCGACATGTGTTTTTATGTTACAACATTCTATATTTTTTTATTGGAAAATCGTTTATGTACAATCAATTAATAATGGATTAAGAATAGTTCTCTGCGGTACTTCACTACGTTCATATATCGGACATCAGGAAAACACTATTGATAAAGACAAGATAAGGGCCTGCAAGTGATAATATGAAATTAGCAGCGGAAGCACAAAATTAAATAAATTTTCACCTATGATGTACAGCTGGAAAGGGACGATAAATTTGAATGCTTGTGTGTCACCTAATACCATGAAAAATTGATAATTCAATTTTTAATGAACACCTTCCACGACATCAATGAGCGAGTTGACGCAGGATGCCTGTTTTTACTTACGTCCGTATACAATTAGAGGCTTATTTTCTGCGAGATGTGTTTCAAAAAATGAGATCATCCTTTCCAATGTATAGTATATCCAATATCGCAGTATATTAATTATTTGTAAATTTTTTTCATATCCCGACTACCCTTTTAAGACGAATGTAATCGTAAAAATAATCTCATCGAATCGATTATCAATAAGATCAATAAGATTCTTCTTTAAAATATGTCAATGTATCCATATATGTCAATCATGCAAAGGTCTTGGGAATTTTCGCCAATAGATTCAAGACCAAAGTATATGGACAGACCTTAGGCAAACAAATGGACAGAGGTACAGCCGAGCAAGCAGACAAGTAGGCTTAAATCGATTGAAGAAATGCTTGCGAATCGATCCTCGTTATAACAGCCAATGCACCCATTTGATTTACTTGATGGTATTGCATACAATCACACAAACTTCACGCAAATTCAACACAACTTGCGTAGGGTATAAAAAGCTGCTTCTAGTAAATGGTTATAATAACGATTCAATCAACAAATTTTGCATCAAATTTACTTATTTCTATTCACATTTCGTTCTTCTTTCTCGTGCTTTCCCTTTCTCTCCTTTTTTTCTCATTTGTGTCGTTATCTCCTTCACCCTTTATCATATTACAATTTGAACAGATTTTCAGCGTATAACAAATATCAATTCCATGCTTCCAATATAATATTTCATCCGTTTATCGGTTTACTTTTCATATTGTTGGCAACAAGTAACCAAAATATTCTTATTTCTCCATTGAATTTAGTTAACTGTTTTCATTATACTATGGCAGGGAAACGATTGAATAGTGGCTTGGCTTTCACTTCCAGAATAAATTTGATTTATTTCACACTAACAATCATACGGTCGGTTGTATACATTTATCGCTTTATCATGCAGTTCACTATTTGTAAAAATATTTGTATACAATGGAAATATATATTGATTTGCGTATGAGTGCCTACAAATTGTATAGTTTAGGTATAGAGCATATTTTCACATGAAATGAATCAAGCAATCTGTGAAGGCTTTTGCAAAACTTTCAGCGAGAACGAAACACGTTAGTTAGCTGAACGACCACCACAATTGGCGTAAGGCAGGCATTAAAATTTAAGTATTACTGGGAATCGGAAATATGCATTTCATTTCATTTTTACGAATGGATTTTATTCAAAATAACGTTAGACTTATGGTCTATTCGTTGCACAAATTTCGATTGCACTTAACTTTACTATGATGAAAGTTTTTAAGATAATTAATTATGTTTGCTTAATTTTTAATGCTGCTATGTATTATATTACATTACTACTTTTGATTTATCGCTCATACAGAGAAGTCAATCAAGCTATTCATTTAGCTTGCACGGGTTATTTTTTTATTTTTATGGCCTGTTTTGGGCCACAGTGATTTGGATAATGTCCAGTAAAACAAAACAAATGAAAAAGAGAAAGAAAATTGTATTCGCGTGTGAATTTTCAGTACGTGGCCGCGGACTTTATCTTAAAATAAAACCAACAAAATGAAATTTCACTCCTCGACAACATTAGATAGGTGTTGTCGACTTTTTTCTTTTTTACAGGCTATAAATACAAATGTCAGTACTCGCTTTGACGCTACACATACTTTAAGTTTTCACAATTTTTATAACGTAGTTGATGAGGTAATGATAAGTCATTTTGCAGACTACAGACTGCAAAACCCATTCGAAGTCAGCAATGCACCAAATGATTATCAGCATCGATTCTCATAAGATTGATATCGGAAGTAGCGGAACATCCGCGTTTAATACCTTCTTCTTGCATGATTCGCTCTCAACGGTAAACGTGTTTTGTAACTTAAATAGTAACCGTTAAGGGTCAAGTTGGGGAAATTCGTCACTGAACTTTAAGTTGTGGTAAAATTGATTTTGGTAGACGTCAAGCGCTAGATCGCGCAAGCGGCAACTATCTATTACTTGGTCATGTCTCACCCTTAACAAATTGTGTAACCGCGAGTCTTGTTAAGCAAATCAATAGATGATAAGTAAAGACCTGTTCTTGTCTAATTGTAGTACATGGGAGGTAAATTAGTAGAGCACATACAAAATAAGTGTGGGATCGTAGGTAACAACTTGCAATTAAACATCTAAGTAAACGCTTTTTCCAAGGATTACAGTCCTACAAACCTAGAAAGTGAGTAAAGGTATCTACAAAACTGCAGCTATAATACTATTGATGGTAATAAACCCTCTAATGTATATATGTAACTATTGTATGTGTTAACGCATTATTTAACATAAATATAAACATAAGTTCGTATAAAGAAAATAAAGTGAAATGAAACGAAGTGAAGTGAAAAGAAATGAAGCGAACGAAATGAACAAGTTGTTTAAAGTTGTGAGCAAGGGAGATCCCCCCTATAGGTAAAATTCCTCACAGTGATGATCCATGAAAACAAATACAAATTATCTTAGGAAAGAATTACGGATAAGCTGAGCCGAGCCCAGCGTCAAGGAATTAATATTTCTTTTGCACAAATTTTCATTTAAAAAATTTCAATTACCTTTTACTTTGAAAACAAAGTTTTTCCCAATGTATTATGGTGACGTCAGCGTGCTGTAGTCAATTTAGCATATTTTCAATACAAACCTGCGTGCAAGAATTTCGAATATTTTTGGCGAACTTTCAAAAAGTATAGATAATTGTTTTTTTTTTTTCTCATTCTCCTTTTTATTATATTCTAGTTCCTATAGCCCTTCTTACGTACTGATATCAGTACACTTCAAAGACTTTGCACCGAGGACGTTGTAAGTATGGTGTCGCTGTGCTGTAATTTTTATGCGGCATAGAAGTTGCGGACAAACGATCTGAAGTAAAAACTGTTTTGGTCTCGAAAGCTAAACACTTTGTGCAATACGTCTGCGTGTACAGCACACCGCTGTACCCGTTCTTCAGATTTTTTCTTTCGCAAGTTCTTGTATTACTTTTCGTAAAACGGAAAGCTTTGCAGCAATTCCATGAACATGAAATATTTTGTTTCGAGGTACTTTACTTCGGGCATTCACAGACATACGTTATACCCTAATGAATGCCGCAATTTTGCGGAACAATTTTGTGGATTATTTTAATCTCATTTCCAAATTTGTTCAATTTTTATAATCATTTTCTTCAGTTTTCGTTGCCCTTTAATTACAAAATATGAGCAAACACACAAACCACTAAGCAGATTGTTCGTCTTTCAGCAAAGCAACAAAAAATAAAGAAAAACAAGTATTGCGAAGACAGACAACAAACGAAGATAGCTTCGTACACTTCGTACTACTACAACACATATGTAGTAAAGTACAGTAATAAGGGCGCTATCGCACCAGGAATCGAACCTGAGTCTTCCGATCGGGTATCGGACGTCCTAACCACTAGACTATGCGATAGCTGTTCTGAAATGCAAAAATTTCTCTTTATATGTTTGGTGTTAAATAAAAGATCGACATAAAATTTGAATTTTGAAATATTGAATACACTCGTGCGATGTGATTTGTTGGAAACAACTATACTTTACAATTAATCCACCTGAGTAGCCGAAGGCGAGGAATCTCGACTAGCAAGTCAATGGTCGTGAGTTCGAATCTCAAGTGCGGTAGAGTTTTTAATAAAAGTCGATAGCCTTAGATGCTAGTGCTTTTAAGAGTTTAGCCTCAAAATTGATTTCTCTGGCGAAATTATTAATAATAATAAATACAATTAAAAGTGTTTTCAGTTTTCTATAATTCTGCTGTCAAAGTATATCGGAAACAAAAAAGATTATATGCGTCTTATATAAATTAAAAATAATACAAAAGTGCAAAGCAACGAGGTTTCGAACTCGAGCCCCCTTAATAATGTTAAAAACGAGACTTGGTTTTGCATGGGATGTAATGATTCCATTATTTACGAATGAAAAATGAAACGTAACACGTAAGGAAACTATATTCGGCTGCGACTAAACCTTTTATACCTATAACCCTTTTCTTAAAAAAAAAGGAACACAACGCAAATAAAATTTGTCTAGTTTACTATTATTAAGTGTGGCGTTAACCGATTTTTTTCATTTCTCTACACACATTCTGTAGGGTGACACAAAAGGATTGACGTAGAAATTTTTATCGCTATATATATTTTACGATATAAGTGAGAAGCAAAAAAACAACAATTATTGTTTGCTTTCGAAAACAAAGAGCATATGCTGTGCTACCGGCTTGTCCTTTGCCGATATGTTTTTGCAAAATTAGAAGCTGAGAACTTGGCCTTAGCGATAAGGATAATATCCACAAAGACTGGGAAACGGATATGTTTACATCGATTCACAATTTGATGCTGTTCAAAAGTGTGTAGAACTTATGGGACCTTTAAAGCTTCGCACGGAATATTTCGAGCGTTTTTACAAGATAAATATACGCCTTTCTTTCGCTAATGGGTAAATAAAAACATGATGTTCCAAAACGGAACTCTCCATAGCTTCGACAATTTTCACTCTTTTCACACCTTCGATTTTTTACAACATTTTCAAAATAAAATTCCGTAGAGGAGGACGTAGAATTTTTTTCATACCTTCAATTAAAGCTAATGATTAAATAAATAAATAAATTAAAAAATGATTGATTTTTTTAGGTCGAAAATTGATTTTTCCATTCATATGCTCAGCACTCACATAAGAATCGATTTTTCTAAAGAAACCTAAGGGGCTTTTCTAATTTTTGGAATTAAGATTAAATGATTTCAAACAAGTAAAAGCTTCGCAATCGATAATAGTGAACGCATACAGTTAATTGTCAAATCATACTAAGATGTTAAGATTACAAGATAATTTAAATATGACATATGCAAATTGCGCCTGTTAAAGGGAGTTGATTTAACAGAACTTAAACAGTCCGGTGTTGAAGTTAACTTATAGATATCGTTTTTATTTTTACATAGAACTCTGAACGGATTGAAAAGCCCTTAATATGTCTACATTGACTCATCTTCGTGAAAATAAAGCGCCTAGAGAAACGATTCAGGAAATTAAAGTTTATCTCACCAATGTGGGCGAAACGACAGCACCACTTGTTAACATAATTATGAAGGCAACATCAAGAATAAATCTAAGCTTCTCAAGTGGTGGTAAGGATAACAGAAGCAATCTATTTTCGTAAGGAGGCAAGGAGACAAACGGATCGAAGCACAAGTTTCTAAAAGCAAAGAGAAGGAATTCTTTTTGAACGGATGTTATCGAATCTACCTAACATTTATAGGGAGGATACGACGCAACAGAGACATACTCAAGTATTGCTTAAGTTTATAAAAAATATTCTTGTAATATAAGGATCGTTAAGCTCTTAATTAAACCCAACTGAGCGGACTTAGGTTCACTTAAAGAGAGCTCAATGTGCAAACTAAAACGTAATCTATGGTCTAATAGACCTCCTAAATCGATGAACGAACCTACTTTTCCCAATTTATGTGAATCGATGAAATTCTCTGGATTGAAAAACTTCCACCTTGGGAAAGAAAGCTTCTTACATTTTTTTAAATTTCATTTCTAAAATATAAGGAAAGGGAAAAAAATAGTTTAACATCTTCGGCTAATATATGGCTAAATTCAATCACCAAACTGAGATCATTGAAAACGGTCCTAAGTGGCGGCCTTGAAGGACACCTGACGTCACAAGGAATTCATCTGAGCTGATGGTGGTAAACAGCACCCTGAATGATCATTTATGAAGATGAGAGCTTATCCATTTCAATAAACACAAAGGGAAGGCAAAGGCCTGGAGTTTGGAGATCAATAATTTATGATTAACTAAGCTTTACTAACTAAACGCTTTACTAACATCAGTGTATGCGAGATCGGTGCGAAAGCCATCATAAGAAACTTTAAAAACATGACAACTGAACTCTGAAGAGGTTCGCAACAGTTGGTCTTCCTTTTAGAAGACAATGCTCAAATGAAGAAACATAAGACTCGACAGCTAATTTCTGAATAACAATTCGTTCAAACAATTTAGGTTAGACACTCTAGTTGACAATGCTTCTATAGTTCTCCACGAGATATTTATTTACACACTTTTGTGAAGTGCAAAAGTTGAACAATTGTACAGGAATAAGAAAGCCACTGTTCCGACGAACGCATGCCACGCTTTAACCATGTTTCAATGAAAGCCAAATGGTAACACGCCGCGAATTTAGACAAATGGAATAAACTTTTGAATTTAGTATCATTGGTAGATGATAGGTATTGTGCCTAAGGATTTTTGATTCATTTCACATAAACATATGTCGAGCTTCTACACATGATTCGAAATCACTCATTTAACACACGACTTGCAAACAATGTAAACGCTAATGAATTTAAGGAGAATGAGATGACGAAATAATTTGGATCAGTTCCAGTGTTCTATTAGCATTTTTTGAAATCTTTCTTTTTTTCAAAATTTCGGATATCAACATCCCTCACCCTCTACATGCGTAATCACATATGAAAAATAAAGCTTTCGTTCTACAGAGACGAAAGCTGACTTTCAACTACGTGATAACCGTCCTGGGAAAAGAAAAGTTTCCGTGTGAACACGAAGCTTTGACATAACTAGCGATTAGTTTTCTTCTTTTAGTTGAGAGAACAGAGCTGAACTTATTGAACTTACCCGAAGAAAGAGATATCTGATTATATTGTTCGAATCCACCGCAATGATGTCAATTTTACTTTAATCATTAGAATTTCGAACGCAGCCAGACTTTTGTTTGGCTATTTCGCCCACCTGAAACGGAAAATATTATTGAGCCTGTATTCAATCAATTATTGTTATTTTACCATTTTATTTTATTCGTTGAACTTTAGAATGTTTTTAATTTTCATACATATTTGATGTAACTAATTTTGTTCTATATATCAAGAGCGAATTATTATTTAAAAAACAAATCATCTTCAATGTTAAGATTATAATTGGTAAGAAATATCAATAAAATTTTTCCTACATCTATTTCCCTAACGTTGCTGATGATTCGACTAATAAACGCCGTTTCACTCTGGACACATCACATCCACGTTTCGTAATTTTTCGAACTTCGAATTTTTTCCAGGGTTTAAAGTAGTGAACATTTCGTTTGCATCTGGGTAAATAAGCGAAAAACGTTGTATCACTTAGGCTTCCGATGTGAGGGAGCGGATGCATCGCAAAATAAAAAACACGCGTTTGTGCCAATAATGTTTGATCCATTTTTTCATAAATGTTACAACGTAGAGCACGGGACTGATATAAAAGAATTATTTGCAAAAGTTATAAAATGCATGCATGTTACTTATCCATTACAAAGATTACCTTTTCAATGAGTATATCACGAATAGTATAATCCTGTTTTCGGGTTTGATGTACCTGTGCAACAGTTGGCAAATCAACAGAGTTCGTTACAGCAGGCAGGGCATTCAAGATAGGTTGTAGCCTCTGCAATTTATTACGTTGCTCTTTGCAAGTGTACACTTTACCATAACGTAAACGTATCCATTCTTTCAGTATCGGTAATCGGTGAACTCCAGGTAAACTAAGTAAAACATATTGGGGATCTTTTCTCAGATAATCGATTGCATCTTTCAGCATGCGTTCCATTAATTCATCATCATTGGGATCATAATAGGTCTGCTGATATTCTAAGCCAAGCGGGCATTTAGCGAGTTGCTCATCAACCATCATCTGATAGCGCTCTAACTCTTTATTCCAGATCTTTTCAGCCGTACGACTCACCGCCTTATCATATCCTTGACAATACATCCACTCTCGTTCCAATTCGTTTAGCAAGGCTATATCGCTATCGACGGCATCAATAAATGCTCGTTTCATACGCAAATTTTCATCAGAGTTCTCTTTGAATTCGAATATCTTGCGATAATCAAATTGGCAAGTACCGTCGCTACGACAATGGAAACGCTTAAGCCCGCAGTATGAGCCGAGATTTAAGAATTTTTTTTTAAAAATGCTAATGCTATTCCGTTGACCAAAATCTGAATCTGGTTGCGAACTAATAGACGAACTGAGCGTATCCTCCTTCATCATGCAGCCCTCCTCGTACAGATCGTAGCCTGAAGAGGCTACCTTATTACTACTATCAGACGGTGTGATCTCCTTGCTGAAATCTTTAATTGTTTGCGTAGATAAAGTTTTGTGAGTATCGTTGGCTAGAATTTTCATAATTGTTTGCCGACGACATTTAGTCAAGCTTTCGCGAAACTCCTTGAGATTTTCTTCAATTTCTTTTTGCAAACTTTCCAACAACTTCTAGAAGCAAACGAAACGATCCATTATAATAATTTTTCAATATCTGTTTTAACTCACCTCTTTTCTAACATGGTCGTTATCTATATGCTCTTTTTCTATAACTTTTAATTTGGCCTCTACCGCTTCCTCTAATAATCGCATCTCCT